CATAATACCCATTCAGGGGTTAAGCTTCACAACTTTTAGAGAAAAACTCCAATTTTAAAAAGGAAACAACATTTATGAATTCAGTCTATTTTTGAAGATTTTATGTTTCGTATCTAAAGGATCCTTAAATATCCCTGCTGATTGGTCGTGTACAGTACTTGTACACAATAGAACACGCTGTGGAAAATATCGCATATTTTAGCTGATAATCGATCTCTGTAACTCTCTTATCTCTGGGTCCTGCTTTCCAATGATTAATTTATTAAGTATTATCAAGTAAATTTAAACCATATATTTTTCTTTAAGAAAGGTTCCAAATTTTATTTTCCAAAAAATCTGAACAATAACTAAAAATTAAAATTTATAATAATGGATGTATAAGCATGTTTTTTTTGTCGGCAAATCTGTAAATTATACACCCCGATTCCCTTCTTTGCTCCAAAAGTCATCTATAAAAATGTACACCTTGTCATTTTCTGCCACCCACTTCTCTTGTTGATTAATGACCCTCTTTGTGTTTACTGTATAATTATAAATTCTTATTTATTGACCGTGATTTTATCTTAAGTTCGCTTTATTGCAAAAAGATTAGGTCCAGATACTTTGTAACCTTTAACACTATCAGTCGGTATGTCGGGGGGGGAGGCGTTGACCCCTGGTAAAGCCAAATAATATTGCCTGAGTGTATTAGTTTAAAAGTTTTTTTGCCGGTACATAATGCGAGATGAAAGTTTAATTTGATAGATATCGTTTTTATTTGCGCAAGGCCCCCCTTTGTGTGTCGGATGAAAAAATGTGTTGAATTTGACCCTATGTTGAACTCTGGATGATTAGCGGGGCCTGAAAATTCCAATATTCGAATTTGATTCTTTTTAACAATCTGTACATTTCAACACTTGAGAGAGGTCATACAGGCGTCAATCTGTGTTTCATGTGTGTTTGTGTCGGTGTCTGTCTGTTTTTTGTCTGTCAGTCTATCTGTCTGTTCAGTCCATCTGTCTTTTAATCAATCTGTCTTTCAGTCTATCTGGCATTCAGTCATCCAGTCTATCTGTCTTTAGTCTATCTGTCTGTCTGTATGTCAGTCTATCTGGATGTGACTTTATGTCAGTTTATCTTTATGTGAGTCTTTCTGTCTTATCAGTCTTGCTGTATGTCATTCTATCTGTTATTATATCTATCCTGTCATTCTATTTGTCTGTGAATCTATCTGCATTTGAGTTTATCTATATGTCAGTCTGTCTCTAAGTCATTCTATCTGTACGTGATTCTATTGGTCTGTCAGTTTATCTGTCTGTGAGTCTATCTGTCTGTCAATGAGTCTGTCTGCCTGTCTGTTAGTCTGTCCTTGCCCTGTTTACAATATTTGCATAGCATTATTTACTCTTGCATCCGTTTATTTTTTGCAGGGATAATGAACAATTTATATTCAAGGGAACCTTCTTTCTGCATCCCTCAGGGGTTTTCTAGTCCCTAGGGCCTAAAGGGGGGGGGTGTAGAGGGGAATCTTGAGGGGGGGGGGGTGCACAAGAGGAATAAAAGATGAGCCAAATATGAAAGAAAACATCTATTGTGTTCGTCTTCAGATGATGAAGAAATATCCTGAAATTATTCAGACAAACTAGACACACATTCAGACATAGACATAAATCTAAATACATTTAGAAAAACTAGACACATTTTCAGACAAATTAAAATCATATTCAGAGAAACTAGACACATATTCAGACATAGACATAAATCTAAACACATTTAGAAAAACTAGACACATTTTCAGACCAATTAGACACATATTCAGACAAACTAGACACATATTCAGACATAGACATCAATCTAAACACATTCATAAAAACTAGACACATTTTCAGACAAACTAGACACATATTCAGAGAAACTTGACACATATTCAGACATAGACATTAATCTAAACACATTCAGAAAAACTAGACGCATATTCTGACAAAAAAGACGGATTCAGACAGAAATATTTTTTTCCCTTTTTAAATTTTGTGCCATCATTAGAAAAACTTTTGATTTTATTCTTCCCTGAGGAAAAGGGATGAAATGGGAATCTCAGAGAGATGGTGGACATTTAGATTTTAGGAATCCGTTTCATTTTATTGCGGAATCAAATTCAGAATCCGCTCTGGAAAAATTAGATTTCGATAAGAGAAAAAAATTAAGTGTAGAATCTGAAACTTATTTTATCTGGAAAACTTTTTCAGCTCAGCTCTGAATTTCGAAGTGAAAGATCGCGAATTTGCAAGGCCTTAAATCTTAATATAATCCACAAAAGAACTTTTTGTTTCTCTCTTATCGGCGGCGATAACTTAATCCGTTGGACCCGTTCTAAACATAAGTACAGATTTCTGGATTAACCACGTTCTGAGAGTGTTAACTACAAGATGTATAGAGGTTATGAGTGTAATAGTGCTAATCTACAACAATTGATTTTGAAATCCACTGAGACAACTTTAAGTTTCAAGATAATTTGATTGATCCTTCAATTTCAACTATTCATCCCATAACTGCTTGATCTCGAGGTTTACAATCCAAAAGTTTTGACGTCAGTACATTCTTGTTTAGAAGTTAAATTCAGATTCATTAATCTAATTTTCTCTCACAATTAAAAATTTTATGTCTGGACAAATAAAAATAAATTGACAGCAAAAAAATAACAAATAAAAATATTTTTTTTTTTATAGATAGATAGATAGATAGATAGATAGATAGATAGATAGATAGATAGATAGATAGATAGATAGATAGATAGATAGATAGATAGATAGATAAAGAAATAGTTAGTTTTTTCAAGTCAGTTAGTTGAATTTGATAAATTGGCTAAATAATGAATGAAATGATGAATGAATTGGTGAATGAAAGGATGAATGAATGAATGAATGAATGAATGAATATATAGATTGTATATTAATGATAGATTAATGACCTGTTATGAGCATAATTACACATCTATTAATCATCGATTAATAATGTTGATCCAAGTATGGAAATGTTTATTGTTTAAACCTTAATATAAATCATTTCTTCAATTAATGCTTGGCTTCTCATTTTATATATTTATATTTTTTAAAATAAAATATCTGTATGAAATTTTTGTTGAAAATATTATATACTTAAACCACTTGATAGGATTTTCATTTAAATTTAACAGTTTTTCTATCTATCTATCTATCTATCTATCTAATTTACTAACCACTATTTATTTACTCTTCTGACAAATGTAAACAAGCCGAAAGCCGATCAAATCCTAATTAAGCCGGATCACGAACTTGACTTGCTTTTAATTAATAATTAAGAGGAGAGTTAACCTTGATAGATTTATCTGGCCAAATAGATTTCAGATATATCAGATTAATCGGATAGATCATAGATTGGATGGATCATAGATTGGATAGATCATAGATTGTATAGATCAGAGATTGGATAGATCAGAGATTTGATAGATCAGAGATTAGATAGATCAGAGATTGGATAGATCAGAGATTGGATAGATCATAGATTGGATAGATCAGAGATTGGATAGATCAGAGATTGGATAGATCAGAGATTTGATAGATCAGAGATTAGATAGATCAGAGATTGGATAGAGCATAGATTGGATAGATAATAGATTGGATGGATAATAGATTGGATATATCATAGATTGGATAGATAATATATTAGATGGATCATAGATTTGATAGATCAAGAGATTGGATAGATCAGAGATTGGATAGATCATAGATTGGATAGATAAAAGATTGGATAGATCATAGATTGGATAGATCAGAGATCAGTTCGATCTCTTTGATTCAAACGAATTGATCACATGAATGGATAAATCGATTTGATACAAGGATTCTTTTTCTCTACTTTTTTATTATTATATGATATCTAACTATATGTATGTATCTATCTAACTATCTTTCTTTCTATCTTTCTATCTATATTTTTCTATCTGTATTTGTCTATCTATCTGTATATCTATCTATATATCTACCCATCTGTCTATCTATACATCTACCCATCTATCTATCTACATATCTATCTATCTATCTAGCTATCTACCCAACTATTTGTGCATCTATCTTCCTATCTATTTATCTACCTTTCTATCTAGCTATCTACCTAACTAGCTGTACATCTATCTTTCTATCTATATCTATCTGTTTGAATGTATTAATCTAGTATCCTGAATTATGTTTGATGTCTGTATATTGAACTTTTGTTAAATTAGTTTCTGAATTGATATGTTTCTAAAACAGCATGGGCTCAGTCTAGTCCAGTTTAGAGACGTGGGGAAGGAGGGGGCTGTTCATAACCCCCCCCCCCCCAACCCCATGCCCGGAAATGTGTCAGATCCAAATATTAAAAAAACAATATTTAAATTTGCATGATTGCATATTGTTTCTTTATTTTTTGCATGAGTGCATTCTTAGCTTTTTGCAGAATTGCATTATGATTTTTTTGCATGCTTTTACTTTCAATCAATCAATAATTATTACCCCTCGTATATTGAAGTTCCAATAATATTTGTGCATTCTCATTAAATTACCGAATATATACATTAACCCCGCAGAATTAAAAAAATTTAGTTGAGCCGAAACCAGCTGATCTCGTTCAAATAGAGCTCAGCCGTTTGTCTCCTGTGTCGCGTACTGACCAATAAAAGCTCGAGAAATTTCAAACTTCGACCAATTAGAATTCAGGATTAAAACTAAACTCTTGAATTCAAAAGTTTTCATTCAGGTTATCAAATTCTGAAGTCGGAAATTATGGGATAGAGCTAACCCAGAACGTTTAAATTCGATATCTATTAGTCTAAAGCGATTACTTGTTTAATCTGTAAACAACAGCTGACTTGTATTTTCTCGAACTAGCCCTTCAGTTGTTAAGAAGTTTAAGCTCGATATCTACATTGGACACTTTAAGTTTGAAGAGATAAATTGTTTAATCCTTAAGCAACAGCCTAATTGTAATCCTAATAATCTATTATTAAGGAGTTGGATGAAGGGTTTAACTATGGACTGTTCCTGCCCCCAAACAACTGTAAGGCTGGCAAGTTTATGGATGAAGAGAGAACCCTCTCCGAGTACCCCTTCCAGTCTACACTCAACACCATAGAGGTACCCCCCCCCCTTTAAGTTTGTAACACCCCTACCTCTCAAAACTTTTCAATTTAAAACAATTATAACTAAAATTCTAATCCAAGCTATTAACAACATCTTATATTTTTATCCCTTTTACTTTTACTATTGAGGGGTGCACTAGTCNATTTAAAACAATCATAACTATACTTCTAAACCAAGCTATTAACAATATCCCCTCCCCCCCACCGCAAAAAAACGGAAAGTATTTTCAAAGCTTAGATAACGCTCAAAAATCTTTCTGCAACATTCGCGATTTAGTTCATCTTTGATATATCTTCTACTAGAAACTTTTATTTATTTAAAGTGTAAAATTCAGCTATAAAAAGTCTTCAAATACTGTCGGTAACATTTTTAACACTTCAAAAATTGTAACATTTCCCTATTTTGTATTAATTATTTCTAGATGAAATACAAACGGAAAGTTTACAAAGAGCTGAACCTGGATCAGAAACAGTTGAAACAGATTAATTCTAAGGTAAAAAGAAACTGATCATTCCCTATCTTTGCTACCTGGTGGTGTAAAGCTTTGATATTTAAAACTATCACTAAATTTAAAGTTAAAAATATTAAAAGGTTTTCAATATTAGGTTGCAAAGATAGGAGGAATAGAAAATTAGAGACTAAGAAAAGCGCTTCATTCCTTAAGTTTTAGCCAGTGATTAAATACATTACTATGGATCTGGGTCTCAACAAAAATTGATCTATTTAAAAAACACATTTTATTTTAACTTAGAAACTTTGTTTAAACCACACTGAAGGTTTTTTGAGAGAATATAAACAAAGCTTAACCGAGCAGCATTAAGTTTGAATACGTTCCTCCAAAACTTTTTGTTGTAAACAAAGTCTCAAGGGGTGTGAATTTTCTTGAAAAACGCCCACCTTCTTCGAAAATCATGTTTTTACCCAGAAGTTAGTTTTATTTAGGTTTTTTTGGTGAAATTGGTAAAAAAATGAATGTATTAACTCCTCCAGAAAAGTTTGTTGTGAAAATTTTTTTTTTAGTTTTACTGAGTTATGTCCTCCAAGAAATGTAAAATTTTCATCTAAAAAAATTAGTTGGAGCACGGGAGCCAAATTCCACTTATTAGCACTATCTTCAAACTTTGTTAGATGAAATTAATATTTATCAACATTTGAAGAATCGAGTGCGGTAGTAATGTAAACATTGCAGTACATATATTTGTTATTGTTGTAGAGCAACCAGAAGAAGTTCATAGAGTACATCTCCAGTAACAACGTGGAGAAGATCTCGAAACTGATTAATAAAGGGTTGGATCCCAACTTCCATTGTCCAGACTCAGGAGGTAACAGTTAATTAAACCAACATTCATTCAAAACTGATCTCAGGGGTGTTTGATCTTGATCACAAGCATATATTCTGTGGAACTCTGAAATGAATTTATCAGATTAAAATTGAAAGCATAAATAAAATAACAAGTATCGGGGAACAACATTTAAATCTTAAACTAAAAGTGCAAAAATTAGTTTGTGGAATGGAGTTTCGGTTCTCTATTTTTTTCTTGGTTTTGTCTAGTTTAAAAATATTCAGAATGATTCGTAATTTAAGTTTTTTACTCAAACTTTATCTTTAAATCTTAATAAGCCCTTTTCAACCTTTCATCTTCCTTTTAAGGGATCTTTTTCTCTGAAGCCATTTAAGCATCGAAATCCATTAAAACAGTCTACTTAGTCCTTAAGTTCTGGCTATCTCTTAATCCGAATCTTATCGTTTGTGTTTTTCTTCATGTGATTTGTGTGTCTTTGTATCTGTTTTAAAGAGACTGCTAGCGAATTTTTAAAAGACGTTGTTAATGTTATCTTTTAGTAATCTAGATTTTTTCTCATTGATTTTTCGTTCAAATCTTATAACTTAAATATTGATATTTGCGATGTTTCCTTTAACGTTAGTCTTGATGGTAATGTGTATTTGTCTAGGGGTATTATCAGTGTACTGAGTAATGTTCACGTTTGCTTGAAATCGGGGACTTATCACTGTATATCTATATATTTATCTAGCTTCCTAGCTCCCTACCCATTTAACTATCTTACTACCTAGCTATCTAGCTTGAAATCGAGGACTTATCACTGTTTATCTATATATTTATCAAGCTTCCTAGTTGCCTACCCATCTACCCACTTTAATTCCTAATTACCTACTCATCTAACTATCAACTACCTGGCTATCTATCTATCTAGCTGCTTAGACACCTAGCTACCTAGCTGCCTACCTACCTAACCACCTAACTACCTAGCAACCTAGCTACATACTCACCTAACTACCTAGCAACCTAGCTATATATTCATCTAACTACCTAGCAACCTAGCTACATGTTCACCTAACTACCTAGCAACCTAGCTACATATTCACTTATCTATCAAACTTCCTAACTAACTTCCGTCTTCCTCTGTGTTTTTCGGTTTCAGTTTAAAAAACTGATTTTTTTTTGGGGGGGGGGGAGGGGTTAATTTATATATAAATTATATTATTCGTATTTTTTGGGTCTTTTTATGGTCTTTTGTGCATCCTGTTTCGTTTTTATGTCTATCATTCTATCTCTTTTTTATCTTTCTACCTATCTTGTATTTATCTGCAGTGTTGAAGGTTGAATATTGTTTGAATTTATGATAATAGGTCAACGGTATACTTTACTGAATTGTACTGTGTACTGCGAACACCATTATAACTCACTCATTTTTATTGGTGCTAATATTCTCTAGCCTATTAAAGGGAGTGACCGGCTATATATAGTGGTTGAACTGAGATTGCAGTATTTTAGAGAATTTTTTTTGGATTTATTTGAGACATATAAAACGTTTTAACGATCTATAATTACTGAGATAAATCTCTATAGTAAACTAATTAGATCTTTAGTAACATCTTTCTCAAAATAAATATGTAAATAATCAATGTTGGAATCTACTATTTCGTTTTCATCATTATTTTGAGTTTCTTACTTTCTATGAATTGTTCGCAGATTTCTTCAAATTATTTAGATGTCGTCTTTTCAATAAAAATTCCAGGAAATCTGCAGAAAATCTTTGTGATTAAAGAGAGATTATAGAAATTAATAATTGACTAAGATTACTTATTTTCGATGAATAGAGTTAGATTTATTTTCTCAACCTGTTCCTAGTTTACTGTAGAATTTTTGTTACATTTTTTTGTCGTTATTTAATAATTAAAAAAAAAAACGATTCTCTAAACGTACCCACCCAAATTGATGATTTTGAACGTCGACTTTGCACTCAAACCTAGTAATTATAGATCTTAAAAACGTTTTATATGTCTCAAATGAATCCAAAAGAATTTCTTTACAATACTGCAATCTCAGTTCTATTACCATACATTGCCGGTCACTCCCTTTAAGGGACTCCTGCAGTTTTTAAAGGGGGTTTATCATGCAAGGTTTTAAATATTTCTAGTAGATAAGTTAAAAAAAATCCATTAATTTCATCTTCTTAGTTTGCTTTTAATAATTGCAAATTCAACTTTATTTTGTGCTCCCCATTGAAGAATTTTGTTTTGCTGAAATATTTGTGCCATTTCCAAAAATTCCAATAAAAATTCTTCAAATCATAAAAAACATGTTTTTCGGCATTTGCGGATTAATCTTTAAAAAATCCAATTTTTTTATAGTTTTTGGACTTGTAAAAAATTGATACTTAATATTCATCCCTGTCTATTTTTCTCATTCTATTCTTCTTGTCTTGTCATTCATCTGTATTCAAGTATTCTGACCTATCTTATCTCTTCTTCAAATATATCTATCTACCTATCTATCTATCTATCTATCTATCTATCTATCTGTATTTCAAAGCATTATGTACCAAGCCAACCCTTTTGGTTTGACAAGACATGTCTGATCTGACCGTGATACAACCTCTGTTGGTATTTTTACCAAATTTGTCTCCAATGTTGGAAATTTATTGATTTTTTATTCAATAATTTATTCATTCACTTTCCCCTTAATTTTTTTTTATATATTTATCTAAAAATTTTAGTTAATCTTAGCAATTTGGTACACTGAGAATCAATTCGAAATCATAACATTCATTTATATATTTTTCAGTTTTCTTGAAAAATCGTTTTTCTCCCCTCCCCCCCCCCTTTTAGAAAATCATTTTTTTATCACAAACTTTAGGTATTTTTGTTAAGGTTTTTATTTGCAGAATTGGTGAAAACAAATGATTTTTATCAATTGGGATTGTGGATAAAAAAAGTATTAAAAATGATGTCAAAACTTTAATTTTTCAAAAACATTACCCCCGGATAATTCTTACAAATCTACACCCCTGATCTAATATCTATCCAACTGGGCGTGGTTTGTGTAAAAGGCGTGGCAGTTATATTGGGTCGGAATCCACCAAATTACATTCCTTGCTTTATTATTCTAATAAATGTGCAATAAATGATAATCTAATTTCAAGATGGTTTATGTTTCTCAAAGGGACCCTTTAAAACTCATTTATCAAGGATGAATGAGATATCGTTCTTTGTTTAGCTAAAAATTTACTATTTTCAATTGCGGTTTTAAAAAGCATCTTTGTGAAGCTGGCCTGGCACTGTAGTTTTTAGATAAACCTTGAATATATTCTAGATAATTATGTTTTTCAAAAATATGAACAATTTTAAGCTTCAAGCATAAGAAATAATAATTTTAAAATTATTTTTGTTCATTTTTTATTTTTATTTCAGAGACACCCCTGAGCCTGTGCACCAGAAATCCTAAATCCTCTCGGAGTATTCTGGTCTTAGTCAACGGAGGAGCTCTCATAGGTATTATAGAGGTCATCTTAGGTCATTGGGTATTCATGGAGGTCATTTGAAGTCAAACGACATTTAATAAGATTATTTTTGATGTTGTTTCTGGTCAACAGTAACAGTTTATGGAGTCCTATAAATGTTAATAGAGGTCAAATATGACAAATAATGTTCATAGAGATCATTTGAGGTTATATGAGGTCAAAGAGGTCATAAGGTTCATGTGTCATAATCAGGTCCCGTATTACGTATATTTTTTTACTGTGTGATGATCCTGTCCCCTAAAGATCTCCAAGGTCCCCTAGATCCTGTCCCCTATATATCTCCCCTAGATCGTGACGCAAGTTTGAATACCTTTGATTACAAACTAATCGTAATATAAACAAACACATACATACACATCACACACAAACATACATTACACACACATACATAAACCGACTCACACAAAACAAACCTACTCCAGTTACTTACAAACCAATGACTGGAACAAATTGTGGCCAATTGTGACCATTTTGTACCGAGATCACTTCCATCAGAGGCGTATTCAGGGGGGCTATGGGGTTTAGCCCCCCCCCCTTCCTTGGATCATTGAAATCTATAGTTTCATGGGTTTTTGGGCCCGAACGGGTGCTCAGCCCCCCTAAAAAGAAAAAATATAGGCCCCCCCCCTGGACAAATTCCTATATATTGCAGAAATACCTCTATTTAGCACAAATACATATTGAATCATTTAAATGTTTGAATCAATCCCAAATATTGGTTTTCCACAACCTATTATCTACTGCTAATTATAATCCTTCTCCCCCCCCCTCCTCCTTCATACCCAAGTCTATGGTGAAGTCAAATATGAGATTAGATTGAATTCCTGAATATCCAAACCTGTCAGCCCTTTATACCCTCCTTCTTCTTATTTTATCCCTTTTTTCCTTTCTCCCTCTTTCTCTTATCCCCCCCTATTAGACATTTTCTTGGATATTAATGTGATTGAATTAATAATTAATCTTCAGATTAATAAAAAGAGGAGATCAAGAATTGATCTCGATATCCACAATTCTTAAGTTTTTAGCTCAGAAAATTAATCCAATCACTGAAACAACTGACACCCCCCTCAAATATTTTCCATATTATGGAACTCAATAATTTAGTATTATCAATCCCACCTTTCAGCACGCAATACTACCTAACAATACTTTTTAATATTTATTATTCTCTATTCTAGATTACCGGACTAAGGATGGATCGACTGCAATGCATAGGTAGGCTTTTTACCCCCCTCCCCTTCCCCCCATCTTAAAAATTGGTTATGCTTTTTTACTCCCCCCCCTCATCATAAAATTGGGACTAATCCGTCAAATTAGATTTTTTGCTGAAGGCTGTTTAGCTTGAAAAAGAACTTAATTTACGATCCTGGGCGTTTTTAGTGCTCTACGTTTGAAAAATCCTCCTGTAAAATCTTGTAAATTAAAGATTTAAACTTAACTGCAAATTGGATGTTGACATTTAAGATAAATTATCAGTCAGGGTTGAGGAGTTTGAGCGGTTCATAGCAGTTTTTAAAGGATTCAAGGGTTTATATTTTAAGACTTAGATTTGAAACTTTGGCGACGTCTGAAAAATTCGTACCCGTTACAACCTCATCTTGCATCATAAGATATCTTCGTTTTTCTTTTCAGAGAAACAATAGTTAAAAAATAATTTTCAGAAAGAAAAAATCGGATTTCTCATTTATTTCTGATTAGGTTAACAAGGAGTATCGTTATGAATTGAACAGTGATTAATGATGTACAAGTTTTTAAAGTTTAAAATACTGCAATCAAAACAATGATTAAATTGTGATTTGTCATGGCTGACTTAGATATGAATGACTTATCAACGCGTTGATTAGCAATTGCGTCAAGTTAAAGGGTAAACAGTTTTTATTTGAGTCATCTCATAGCTCCGCCGTTTTGGCTGCAGCAAGGCAAGAAAATGACCCCAATTTTTGCACGTGATATTACATGCAATCATCATGCGAACAGACTCGATAGTAAAGGGGGGATAATCTATTTTCTAGGAGGAAGAAGGGGG